TATATGTGTATGTGTATCTTTCCATATAAATATGAAAGAAGTTAAAGAATTTCTCTAAACAAGTCCTTCCACTATTATTTTAAATATTTTTTTATTGCTTTTCCCTCAATAGCATACTTCTTTATTTTTTACCCATTAGATGATAGTCTTAAATGTATTTTTGAAGTGTATTTAATTACTTTCTTCTAAGTAAGAGACTGAAATAATAAAATGACAAGGAAAGATTCATAAAGTATCACTTATCACTTATTATTAAAGAGCACATAGCAACTGTGAATTAAAGCTTAGTAAATATCCACTGTGTAATACTCTATCCTGAACTTAGGTGGAATTCCTTAAATAAAAGAGAAAATGTATTATTCTGCTTTTCACATAATTCAAGGACCAAAGGAATCTTCGAAAGTCCATTTTTCTTTCTCTGTAAAATTTATACTGATCTTTTAAAAAACACTTCTGGGAAGACAACACAGGCAAACACAATCTCCCTGGTAAGCATTTATGAAACATGAGGTTTTCAAGCAAAGTCATGTTTAAAATTCTCCTTAACTATTAAATTATTTCTAAATAGGTTTATGAAACTCATTCATTCAATGAATGTTTATTGAGCTTCTACTATGTGCTAAGCAAGGCACTAAGAATTCACTCGCAGAGCCTTTAAGCATAGAGCCCTACATCCTGGCATGTAAAAACTGACTACTGAGTAGCTCCAGGCACCCATTCAACAATCTCCATGGTCATCCTATGTGATCTAGAATTTTGGGAAAATGAAGGGATGCTGGAAAATACAGCATTCTGAAGGGAGAAATCAAAGGAAAATACTTCCTTCCTAAAACAAATAAAAATTTAAAAAAAATCCATATTAAGAATTTGAGTCCTATGGTCAGACACCTATGAATTCAAATCACAACTCTATCAATTTCTACTTGTGGAGTTCCTGTACAAATTTCTCATCCTCTTTAAGCCTTGGTTTCCTCAACTGTAAAAATGGGGATAATAATAAATACCTACATCATAGGATTGTTGGGAAGTTCAAACACAAAATGCTAAATATAGTCACTGGCTTGTAGCAAGTACAGTAATCAATAAATGGTTGTTATCACCATAATCGTCACCACTACCATACGCTCTTTAAATGACATGCACTTCATTTTTGAAGTTGTTTTCCAAGATAAAAATCCATGAATTTCAATGCACATTCCATAACAATACCTTTGTGCAGAGAGCCTCAGCTTCAGATATTCTTCCAGTATCTATTAGACCAGTGACAGCTTGTGAGAGAGACCACATTTCAAGAGATTGGTTGTAATTTTCAAAGAATTCTTTGTCTTTAACTGTAAACCAGAAATGTTGATGTTACTTTCTTCTGCAATTTATATTGTGTACTCATAAGACTAACTGGTTGCAAGAATATTACAATTAGACTTATCATGCATATACAGTTTTTAAAACTTACATGTACCACTGGAATACTACAGACTATCCTGACATGAGACAGGTTTCTGTAAAGTTTCATGGTGGGGGTATTTGTGGCTAAATAAGTTAAAGCCTCATATACTTGTGACTTACATAAAAAATCACTATATCTATAGTAACAATGAAAAGAATTCATTGAAAATAACGTAAAGATTTACTGCTATATAATAGACACAAAATGTGCTGCACATATCCAAACTACACAATTCGATGAGTTTTAACATACGTATACATCAGTGAACCACCAGCACAATCAAAACCATGAACATATTCATCATTATCAAAAGTTTCCTCTTGCCCCTTTGTAATCATTCTTCTGTCCCCAACTCACCCCATCCATCCTCCCTTAGCCTCTGTTCCCAGACAGCTTCTAATCTGTATTTTGTCACAACATACCAGTTTGCACTTTCTAAAATTTCATATAAGTGGAATTATATAGGATAAATGCTGTCTGGTATCTTTTACAGGTATTAAATGGTGAATTATATTCATTTTCAAATATTAAAGCAACCTTGCATTCCTGACCTAAACCCCACTTCATCATAATGTATTATTTTTTCTATGTGTTGTTGGGTTTGAATTACTAAAGTTTTGTTATTAAATTCTCTCCATCTATATTCATGAGTGATGTTGTTCTGTAGTTTTCTTTTCTTGTAATGTCTTTGCCTGGTGTTGGCATTAAGGTAATGCTGGCCTCATGGAAAATGTCAGAAGTGTTAACATCTCTTTGATTTTCTGGAAGTATTTGTGTATAATTGGTATCATTTTTCTCCTTAAATGTTGGTAAAATTCATTAGTAAGTGTCAGCTTCAAGATGGCTGACTAAGCCAGGTATGGTGGCTCACACCTGCAATCCCAGCACTTTGGGAGATCAAGGCAAGAGGACCACTTGAGCCCAGGAGTTTGAGACCAACCTGGGCAACACAGCGAGACCCCTATCTTTACAAAAACTTTAAAAATTAGCTAGGCGTGGTGGTGCACGCCTATAGTCCTAGCTTCTCAGGAGGCTGAGGTGAGAGGATCGCCTGAGCCCAAGAGTTTAAGCTTACAGTGAGCTACGATTGCACCACTACACTCCAACCTGGTCAACAGAGTAAGTGACATCCTGCCTCTGGCGGAAGTAAAAAAAAAAGGACAGCTGACTAGATTCATCAGGTACTCACCTGTTCATGGAGACAAACCAAAACAGCAAGTAAATAATCACATTTTGAATAGATTATCTAACAGAGAACACTGTAAATAAAGAGAAGGAAGGAAGGAAGGAAAGGGAAGTGAGGCAGCCTGCTCAGGATTGGGCCAGGATCAGCTGGGAGCCTGGAAAGGCTCCCTGATGTAGGGAAAGAGTAATTGAGAGACACCCAGCTGTCTACATTCCTGCCTTGGACTCCTACAATCCCAGCCACCTTAACCTTTGTGGGCCCTGAGACTAACATAAGGAGCTGCCTGAAGACTACGCAGTGGCACTGCTCTAGAGAGGGAGCTCACATTGAGACCCACAAAACCCCAAGTTCTAAGAAGCTATAGCACAGTGCCACTTTGATAGTCTACCCATTACCAGACTGCATCCTGGGGCACCAGGGGCCCCGCAGCCCTTGCATCTCCACATCCCCAGCACCTCACTGACAGCCACTATGGGCTGTGGTAATGCCAAGGCATGAGCAAAGCACATGCGCCCCTCAGCCACCTGCCTACAGCTGCTCCCACTGAAATCAACCACACTGTCCCCAATAGCAGGGCCATAGCACAGCTGCTGATGCCCCCACCTGAGCATTCCATGGCAGCCTAGGGATCATCTCATTCCTCCCTACCACAGCCAGTGCCTGCATGCATCATCAGAGGAACTAAGGACAGGTCTGCCGGGCGCAGACCTGAGCACCCACCCAGAGGCCTGGGGGTTGCCCAGCCCAGTCTACCACCACTGACACCTGAGTACTCTTCTTGGGGTCTGAGGTTGGGCCCACCCAACCCGCGGTTAACACTGGTGCTGGCACCAACCTGCACATACCACCTGTGGGCTTGGGTACTGGCCTACCCAGCCCATTGCAGCAAACACCAATACTAGTCCAGACTGCTTGGGTCCCAGAAGATTGTCCCACCACTGCCACTGCCAGACCCATTCCACATCTGCTGCCCAGGGGCTGAAGAACCCACCCAACCCATCCAGCCACTGATGCCATATCCAGCACCCAAGAAAGCTACCTAGAGGTCCAAGAATTGGCCTGCCTGGACCCATGGACACCAGTGCCAGCGTAAGTCATCCTGGGGCCAAAGGACGGCATAATCAGCCCACCACTAGCATGACTTGGACCTGAACAGTGGCCCACCTGGTGTCTCAGATCCCAGCAAAACTTTATGACAGCCTCTACTAACAACTGCATCCTAAGCCACTGAGGAAATCACAGACACCACTGACACTGCTCAACATTTACTAAAAAATAACTAATAACCTAAAATTAATTTAGTGAACAACTATTGTCCCAAGACAAAAGTAATCTATTTATTAATCAAAGTAGGTTAACCTATGTGTAGATCACTTTTTTTTTAAATATGATTTTGATAGGAAGAATATTATCCCCTCAAAGATATCAGTGTCTAATCCTTGAACCTGTGTATATGTAACCTTACATGGCAAAAGGAACTTTGCAGATATGATTAAACTAAGGAGCTTGAGATGGGGAGAGTATTCTGGATTATGATTTATGATGGAAATCTGCTTTCTGTCTAGGCTTCTAGAATTCTGATGATTGTGATTGATAATGTAGGCAGAGGGTGCCTGAGTAACCAGATGGGCTTTACTAGACAGAAACATTATATACAATGCTGCTTTTTTGCTGCTAGATAAAAAAGCATACTCAATATGCCTTTTCCTAAGCTAGGCAGAAGAAACTTACGTAAGGATTTCTCTAGACTTTGTCTTATGTATCTTTTTATATAGACAACTTTTCAATGAATAAATTTATAGATTTACAAAGTAATGCTAACTAAATCTGATTAGAACAACAGCTACCCTAGCCAAGATTCCCAGGAAGAAACAAAGGACAATTTCAGTGCTGGTTTTGATAAAGGACTGCATCCAGGTCACCTCTGTCCTAAAACACTGGTCAAGACTCAAAGCAGAAAATTGCCACAAAAATGAAGATTTCAGCTAACAGAACATATTGGACTTTTTAGCTATATAGAAGACAAAATACATATGTCCATCACATTTCTGTACAGCTGTTAGATCTGCGGATTCTTTAATGAATGTATTTTTTATAACAATATATGCTGAAGTTGTTTTCCTGATTTAACCATTTAAGGAATCTGTATTAAATCATGTATAAAAATGCTTTTTAAAACTTACTTGAAGCAGAAACGGCAGATAACAATGCCAAGTACAAATCTATCCTCTTTGGCTGAGAGTTGTTCACTAGAGCCAGTTTGTCATCTGCATGACAGGCTGCCATTAGCCCGGCCCAGATAGCAGGGTCACCTACAAACAGGAAAGACAGTTAGAAGTCTTGTTAATATCAACATGTTGCTGAAAAACTATCAAAAATGAGAATAAGAGTTAATATCAACATGTTGAAAAACTACGAAAAATCAGAGTACAAAAAGAATTGTATCTCCATAAAAATTCCACTTTTTTAAAGGAAAACTAAATCACACTTGTTTTCAGAGACACATTACTACATCCGTCTTTCAAGATTTGCCATTTTTCCTAAACATATCAGAAGATGAGAAATACTCTATTAAGATCTTCTTCTGTGGCTGGTTAGCTCAGTTGCCTAGAGTGCTATACACCAAGGAAGGGGCAATTAGATCCACTTTTGTTTGACACCAAGGACAAACCTCAGATAGACACTCATCTTCATTATTCAGCTCTTTTTTTAAAGGCTTTGTCACAGAACAACCAAGATAACACAATGTTTTTAGTTCTTAAGAAAAGTTTGAGCAAAAGGAAAGGTTCAAGATTTTATCTATGTTCTAACAGGAAAGAATGGAAGTCACTCTCTCACTCCAAGCAAAGCATTTAAATAATTATATATTCCTTCGTTCATTTGATATTTCCTTCTTTCACATCTTGACAGCAGTTTCAGGGGAGGGGGGAAGCCTGACAACAAGCAGTGGGATGGAGAGGTAATAAGAAAAAGACATTATGCATATAGACTCCCTTTTTAAGCAAGTTCCTTATGAAAAGAAAAAAATGGGAAGAGGATTTCTGGAACTTAGAGGTTTTTATTCATTCGTTTGACCTTTTATTTTTATAAATCTTATTTTGTAGTTTACTTCAACAGTTAATATTTTAGTCCTGCTACCCTTAAATAACAAATCAATGATTTAAAATCCCACAAGGGGGTGCTAGTTAAACAATACAGTCACTTGATCACACTTTTTAGCTTTAGTTTTTTTGTTTGTTTGTTTTTTATTTCAGCATATTATGGGGGTACAAATGTTTAAGTTACATACATTGCCTTTGCCCCACCCAAGGCAGAGCTTCAAGCATGTCCATCCCCCAGACGGTGAACACTACACCCATTAGGTGTGAACATACCCATCCCCTCCATCCCCCTACCACCTGCCTGACACCCAATGAATGTTGCTACTATATGTGCACATAAGTGTTGATCAATTAATACCAATTTGATGGTGAGTACATGTGGTGCTTGTTTTTCAATTCTTGGGATACTTCACTTAGAATGAGCTCAAGCTCTATCCAGGATAACACAAGAGGTGCTAGATCGCCATTGTTTTTTGTGGCTGAGTAGTACTCCACAGTATACATATACCACATTTTAATAATCCACTCATGTATTGATGGGCACCTGGGTTCTTTCCACATCTTTGCAATTGTGAACTGTGCTGCTATAAACATTCTAGTGCAGATGTCTTTTTATAGAATGTCTTTTTATCCTTTGGGTAGATGCCCAGTAATGGGATTGCTGGATCAAATGATAGTTCTACTTTTAGCTCTTTGAGGTATCTCCATATTACTTTCCATAGAGGTTATACTAGTCTGCAGTCCCACCAGCAGTGTATGAGTGTTCCTATCTCTCCACATCCACACCAACATTTATTATTTTGGGACTTTTGATAAAAGCTATTCTCACTAGAGTTAAGTGATATCTCATTGTGGTTTTGATTCGCATTTCCCTGATGATTAGAGACGTTGAGCATTTTTTCATATGTTTCTTGGACATTAGTCTGTCTTCTTTGGGCTTGTTTGATTTTTTAGTGCTGATTTTCCTGAGTTCTATATAGATTCTAGTTATCAGCCCTTTATCGGATGTGTAGCATGAGAATATTTCCTCCCTTTCTGTAGGTTGTGTTTGCTCTCGTGATAGTTCCCTTGGCTGTGCAGAAGCTTTTTAATTTGATCAGGTCCCATTTATTTATTTTTGTTGTTGCTGTGCCTTTGGGGTCTTCTTCATAAATTCTTTCCCTAGGACGATGTCTATAAGAGTTTTTCCAATATTTTCTTCTAGAATTCTTACAGTTTCATGCCTTAAGTTTAAGTCTGTTATCCACCATGAGTAGCTTTAGTTTTATATTCTTTTTTATCTGAATGCTCCAGCCACTGTATGCCTCCTATCAAATGTGTGAAATATGTATCTATTTCATTTAGATGGTCAGTATTACTGCTAATGGTATAAGAATAAAATCACAAGAATCATTAAAATCTATACAGATGAAAAATCTTTATAAAAAATTAAATATATACCTTCATGTTATGAAATAATTTCTGCCCCAGATAATAACTATCTTATTTTAAGTAACATAGACATTATCAAATTCCAGAATAAACAAATGGGTACCATTCCCTAGAATTTATTTGTAATGAGATCTGATTACTGCATAATGAAAGGCACATGACTAAACCTTAGGGTTTTAGGTCTAGCAATGCCACTAATTAACATGTGGTAGCTTTTCCTTTGGGATTCATTTTCTATAAAACAAGGCCGAAGTACCATCAAGTCTAAAATTCTATGATTCCAACTGAAGTGGACTCAGTTTCTGAATACTGACTTACTCTTAAGATTAAGCGAACAACCCCTTTAGGGATCTTATGGTATTACATGGTTTAGATTTCTGGCAGGGGGATGGAACATAGTGGGCAGCAATTTCTTCTGTCACAATACAAACGAATTGCTGTTTCTCTTAACTCTTCCACAGATAATCAGCAACTCCAATGCTCTGTGAAATAAAGTGACACTGGGATAATAGATAAACTACAAAACTAATAATTTTAAACTACAATTTGCTGAAAATACTTCTTAGTATCACAGAAACACTAATCTAGCAGAAACTGGATTTTCTTTTATTCAATTCTAAATTCTTGGGATTACCTTTAAATTCCTGAAAAGACTCCTTGGTATAACATTTAGCAAAACTGTACTTTGTTCAACTAAAGACCTACAAAGACTAGATGTGTAGTCACCACGTATAACTACAATTATATTCACTTTCATTGGACTCCTAAGTCTCAAACAGGCACTCATTTTCACCACTCAGTCCCTGTTTTAAGCACATTATACAATGACTCTGCTTCCTTGAGTATGTATGTATCCAGATAATATGGGAAAATCAGAGGAGATCATTAGAGAAGACTTGCCTGGGCAATCTAAAGTTTATGGCCTTACACAATCAAAGGCTAATAGATCTTCTATCATTCTGTATCCACAATAAGAATTCTTGAGACTAAGTCTATCTAATATTTGCTTGAGAACATCTCCAAAAACCAGAAATGTATCAATATATAATATAGAGAAATCCAAATGTTTAGGGTCTCTTTTTATTCTGACCACGTCAAAATGAAAGTAAGGATAATCAACAGGATACTGGTCTGTTTACTTATGTTATAAAATAGTCCCTGAAATGTTAGATATTTTGTAGCTTAGTTAGGATCTTTAGAATTTATTGTAAAGATAACATTGAACCTATTCTTTGTACAATCTGTTTACCAACAGTGCCTAGCCAAAAGCAATAGCATTCTGGTCTAACAAATGTTTGAAGTGCTCTAGAGGAATAAATTTTAATGCTGTATTTTGTGTTTAAAATAATATTATGTAAAAGTACACCTTATAACTCTATATTTCTAGGCATTACAGTCCTCTAGGTATTTTTCCAGTAGTGGTAATGGACGCATGCTGAAGTAGTCATATGCAATAGCTAACTCCGGTGAGGTCATATAAATTGGCATTTCCAACAGTTACCACACAAGACACATCCCCATCCTTCAAACTACAAATATCTAAATATGCTTATTAAATAATTTAGTAGCCATAAGTAAACCTCTTTAAACTAGAATGGTAGAAAATGGAAGTAAAACTTCTTGAAAATACACATATAATTCAGATTTTCGTTACTAGGTAATAGAGTATCTTTAAGTAGGCATTCCTTTCGGCCTGTTCCAGTAATTAATTCTCTCTTAATTATTAGTGGCCAAAAGCAGACAATCAAATAATATGCAAAATCTTAAAACATTTTCTTAAAATTCCCTTTTGTCTTATTTTCTGGAAATAAAAACTTTGTTCCTATAACTCACAAATGCAAGATTGATAGAATCTGAATGAATGAAATGAATATTATATTCACCTGGAGAAAGGAGTGCTGCCTTCTGAATGGTCTTTAGTGCAATATTCTTTTCATCTTCTGCTGAACTGCTTCCCATTGCCAACTGATTTACTGCAGTATACAGTAATGCCTTCTACATAAGAGAAAAGAAATATTTTAACCAATTTTCTTTGTAGCTCCCTGTCTTTTAAACTCATGAAAGTATTTGATATGATGTGACTCCTAAAGCTATTAAGAAAAATTATTTAATTCCTTCATAAATATTACTTAACAATTCGAACATTTCCTTGGTACTAGGGCAAACTAACCTTCCCATGATTTGAGTCCAGAATATGAGCCACGTTTCCTGCTACAGCGCCTCCCTGTAATTGAAAATACTGATTAGACAAATGCAACAACTTTCATGAAATAGTAAAAATTAAGACAAAATCTTTCCATTAAATCATTTGAAAGGTTTAGTTTTATCACATTCACAACTTCTAAACTCCTTATGTATCAATTATTAATACTGTTTTAAAAGACTAGTATTTTTGTGAATACTTTTCGACTATGATCATTTCAACTCCACTTTTAAAATATTCATTCAACAGTTCAAAAGTTACATGATTTTACAGTGGTACCAAATAAATGTGCACATTTTCTAACAATATAAAAGAGATCATGGAAGAAAGACTGAAAAAGAGACAGGAGCAGAGAGGACGGAAGGGAGGAAGAGATCGAAAGATAAACTAACATGGTTTTACTCCATGAAAATATATAGTATTTTTTAAACTTCCATAGTCCCTAGTAAAATAAATAACAACAGTTCAGAGCACCATGAAGCTCATCATTGCTTCAATAAGCAAATCAATACTAAAAATAAGAAAATATATGCAGCATCACAGAGTTTTCATAAGGTCAATTTGAAATCTATAACCCTTAAAAATTCAATTATTAGACATTTTACCTGGAAAAGAAAGTAAATTACAAGAATGGTTTCATTTTACATCAAAAGTATACTGTAAGGCCAGGAGTGGTGGCTGACACCTGCAATCCTAGCACTCTGGGAGGCTGAGGTGGAGGATCGCTTGAACTCAGGAATTTAAGACCAGACTGAGCAAGAGCAACACCCCGTCTCTACTAAAAAATAGAAAAAATTAGCTAGGCAAGTAAAAATAGAAAAAAATTAGCCGGGTGTGGTGGCGCATGCTTGTAGTCCCAGATACTTGAGAGGCTGAGGCAGGAGGATCCCTTGAGGCCAGGAGTTTGAGGTTGGTGTGAGCTAGGCTGACGCCACAGCACTCTAGCCTGGGCAAAAGAGCGAGACCATGTCTCAAAAAAAAAGTATACTGTATCTCTCATTTCATACCAGAAGTGTATCAGAAATGTTTTCAAAACTGTATTTAGCACACAAATAAAGACTGCTGAAAACATAAATAAACTTTTTTAAAAAGTCAATATAAAACAAATAGAAGATAGATTAAAAAGAAGAAAGTCAACACAGCAGAGTAGAAGGATTTGGGAGTTAATCTGGGATTGAATCCCATCATCACAACTATTAACTGATTTTATACAAGTTATTTAAACTCTGTGTCTCAAGTATCCTCCTCCATAAAATGGACAACAATTATAGCTACTTCACATGGTTGCTGGGATTAAATGACAAAATATATAAAAATGCTTAGCAAAGTAGCTGACACATAATAAAGTACTTCATTCCAGTGCCTAATAATTATGGTCTTCTAGGTTCTCTGAGTCAATTAATTCACTGAAAATAACTAAAAACGTGAGCTAAAACTTTGCTACTGAAACTGTGGCCTGTGCACCAGCAGCATTGACATTCCCTGGGAAGTTGTTGGAAATTCAGACAATTGGGCCCCACCCTAGACCTACTGAATTTTAACAAGATCACCAGGTGATTTCAATGGCACAAAAGTTTGAGAAACACTAGGATAAAATATTAAAAAACCATATTCTTAAAAGCATTTAATAATTGACAAGATATTAAGGACTTACCAGGCCAAACCTAAAAGGGAAAAGTGGAATCCAGAAAGACAAGTGAACAGGGATGCCACTTCTGCCATCTGCAGATGCTAACAAATTTTAGTTTTCGTCTTAAATTAAAGATGGGCTACAGCGACAGAAATTAAAGCCCAGGGCTCACACAAGGAGGGGAGTGTAAAGGAAACCGACATCAGAACACGCTGAGCTCCCAAGTGGCTACATGCTCAGATTCCAGGTGAATCCAAATTAAGCCAAATCTCAGATGACCTTGTAACCCAGGCACAGAGGAGCCTGGTTGGTCTAGAAACCTCAAGTTCTAAGCCTTATATAAGGTAGTCCCAGATTGGTAGAGCTCCTAAGCACCTGGCAGAAGCAAATACAAACCCTTTCTAAAGAAAGGTACTTTAATTTTAAGCTTCAAATTATTCCTACGAATAATTTTCAAGTACACACAGTCAGGTAAACAAAGAAACAAAGCCACCATGAGTGAAAACCAGTAGGACTAACAGAAACAGAAACAGAACCACAGACTTCAGATATTGGAATTATTAGACATGGTAAGTGTTCAAACCATAATGTCTATTACCATTATGTTTATCAACCAGTTAAGTGAACTATGAAAGGACATATTAACCACAGGAGTTAACACAATATAGAGTCCTGAAAATGTCTGGCTGTACAAACTACAATACAGTATATAATCCTTATAATCAGTGACTTCATCTTTACACTTACATTTTTGGATGCTAGCAGTATTGTAGTTCTTATTGTCTTACCTTTAAGAAGCTTTTAAGTAAAATTCTCTTTTGAGATTCAAAAACACATAGCTAATGCTCACTACATGGCAACATTATGTCACTTTACGATACAGTCATTAACATAATGTGTATGTGTTCAAAAAGATTTTCCTACTTCTTTATAGCTCCCACAATACCCAGAACAGTACAATAGTACATGGAGGAAACTCAGTCTAGTACTTGTTGAATGACTAAAGGAGAATTTGGTTAAATAACAGAACTCTCTTCACCGTATTAATTATCTTCCAGAAAAATAATGCTATGACTTAAAATTATAACATTTACCACATCACAAGTTATTGTAGCTTTTTGCCAGAATTTAGAACACTACTCACCTTTGCATTTCGTTGAGCATATTGAGCAACAACTCGGGACAACAGAGACCAAAGAGCAGGGTCACCCGGGTTACTATAGAGATCACCAAAAGTAGCAGGCTTAGAGACAGAAGTTACTTTAATCACAAAATGTACAAATAACTAATATTTTATTAATTTTAAAAATCTTTTAGACACCTAAAAAAGTTCATATTAATTGTCTATGTTTGGTTGAAAGTGTCTTAATTTTTAGAAAACATACTTTATATCTCTAATACACAACAACAGTCCTTATGAAAAGAAGGAAAAATCAGCAATGTGATTATAAAGCCATGAGACAATTAAGAAAAGTTAAAGAAATTTAATACATTGTGTTCAAATAAGACACAAAGAGATTAAAAATTATAGGATAAATAATATTGTACACCAGGAGGATGACTTCTAATAAAAATGACATCATAAGGAATAAGCTTTCCACTAAAATAATTTAATTTTTAAAAATATAACTAACCAGCAAAGATTGTGAATAAAAATGAGCTATGGAAGGAAAAGAAACTACAGATATACTACTACTCAAAATAAAATAAATAACCATTGTTGCTAATGATAGCTTTCTATTTTCCAAATTTTGAAGACATTAATTAATGTTTAAATGGCCAAAAATTCCTAATATCATCAATCTGGACAGTATCAGATAACAGACTGAGAATATTACAAACTTGGGAATAAGGGCTTATATAACAAAACAAGGTTTGGTTCTTAACCTAATTAAAGGCCAAATTTGTCAACTGAATTAAAAGAAAAATCCTTATAGGTGAAATAAGATGTATAGTCAGTTACCTGGTCCTATGTAAAATTTCATAAAACCAGAGTTTGGTTTCCAAAAATATATACTTACCTCATTTTATAGTCTTAATAAAGTCCAAATGTCGAAGACAACCACATACGGTATAATCAGGCCCCAACTTCACAAATGCAGAATTTACCTGTGAACAGCTTTAGAGGTTTGTCTTTGCACGGCCACACTGCGGCCTTGGAGTGCATAAATTGCTGAAGTAAGAAGGCACCTCTGATAATCATTGTCTTTGCGTTTGATGTGCTTCAGTAACTCATTAAGTGCTGCTTTTGACAGGGTAGCATCTTGCATTGCCAACCCTAGTGCACACAGGGCTTGAAGGCTTTCTGCAGTTGGTTCCTTTAAGATAGAGCTGTAAATACATTTGCAAATTACCTATTAGTCATGACTACACTAGTCTTTATCCATAACTATTAAAACATTTAATATTTAGTATAAAAAGCAATTTACTTAAAGATTCACCAAACTAAGCCCAGCTTTAAGATTAATACAGAAACAGTCCAGGTGCAGTAGCTCACACTTATAATCCCAGCACTTTGGAAGGCTAAGATGAGAGCACCACTTGAGGCCGGGAGTTCAAGACCAGCCTGGGCAACATAGAGAGAACCTGCGTCTACAAAAAATTTAAAAAATTAGCCAGGCCTGGTGGTATACGCCTATGGTCCCAGCTACTCAGGAGGCTAAGGTGAGAGGATCACTTGAGCGCAGAAGTTTGAGATTACAATGAGCTATGCACCACTGCACTGCAGCCTGGGCGACAGAGTGAAACTCTGTCCCTAAAAATGGAAAAAAAAAAAAAAAAAAGATTAACATAGAAACAAACTGGTGTTTAGAGACGGTAATTTCCCCAATCATCTGAAGCAGTTAAATGTATCAGTGGCCTTTCTCAGAGCAACAACAGCCAAATTTCTTTTTCGGTCATTATATCTAAACTTTAGAAACAAACATAAATTAATCTCTTTGGATCTCAGTTCTAGGTAAATAATTAGAACAATTTTGCTAAGATACTGGGTTTCAATAAAATCCTAGAATGTACGAATAACCAAGAAAAAAGAATCTCTTCAATATATGATTTTTATCATTCCAATAAAGCTTTTTCCTACTTTTCTGTCTTACTGAAACCAGCACTTTCCATAAAAAATATAAATTGTTTCTATATCACTATACTCTTGAGTATTTTTATAATTTAGGAGAATTTAAATTTTCAATGTTTACATGCAAAATTGTAGATGTCTTACACTGGCATTTTAAAAAATTCTAACTTTTTTTTCAGTTTTCAACTGTGAAATCTGATTTAGCCTTATTAAAAGTCAATAATGTTTAGGAATCCTTGTTAATTTAAACGAAGAAAACCTTAGCTCTCTACAAATTTAATGATGCTTCTAATAATTATTAACTTTTATACTGTAATAAAGCAAAGGAACTTTTAAAAACTTTTAAAACATAGTTCATTAAATATAACCAAAATATTTATAACATTACGAAATATCGTATACCTACCACTATGTCTTTGGACTATTTTTGGAAGGGGGAAATTAAGAGTTTTGCACTTAATTTTGACAAACAGGTATGAAAACATGAATTTTTTAGGCAGCTCTGGAGTATATAGCTTACTTAAAGTATTCATAGGAACTCTGTTTATAATAAGAGTTAACAGGTGTAGGAGTCCAAATATGGAAGTATGTCAGGCAGTGTCATTTCTATCAATATAAATAACCACGTTGTCAACTGGTATAACTAAAAAAGCAAATAGTAAAATATAAATTCCAATATTGATAAAAAAAAGAAATTCTGATTTGTGCTTTGGCTCAAAAGGAAAAACCTATCTACTCTAATACTTACTAATATACAAAATCTAAATTAGTACTGAAATGGACTACCTCCCAATTATATTAAGCAAACATGTGCTAAATGCTCAGTACCTGCATGTTGTCTTCTACCACGTTCTAGGAATTTTACATGTGATTATTTAATACCATAAAGTCTATGAGTTTGGTAAACAGATTTTTTCTCCCTTATATAATAAACTTATTCCTAAACTCCTTAAATAAACTTATTCCTTATTCCTTAAATAAATGTCTAGGACACTGCTCATTTCTCGATATATGAATGCCAAACAAGATCAAAGAATGGGTAACAGTTAACTTTTCATAGAAAGAAAGTCAAAGAAAAGAATGCCAAGGGGTAGAAAATGGAAGCAGATGATAGTGTTAAGTTTGAGTGATGACATCCAAAGAATCAAAAACAAGGACAGAAATGTAGATCAGAAAAAATACCCAGCCCTGGATCCAACAACATAAAACAGAGGGTAAAGGTTTTTCTTCACATAGGGAAGTGGAAAAGGAAGATTGTATTTGGTTATTTTTTTCCCACCTCCACCAACGTTCAAACTGATTTTGGTTACTGTTTTAAGTAGTAACCAATTACTAATCTAATTGCATCTAATGTGGAGTTACTTTTGTCTTTGATCTAATCTGGAGATACTTTTGCTACTGATTGTAGTAATTATTAACATACATAATTCTTGTCACCAAAACACTTGCAAAATCGGGTTCTCTGAACATGTTGTACATAGCCATAGATACACATTACAAGGATGTATCCATATAAAGTGACAGGATTTTCTTTTAAATTGATTGGTTTTCCCTGAACAGCAAAGAGAAGAAAGAATTGCTTATTTATTATATAAGGAAATGACTTTAATCATGCAGGATAGGACAAAAATATCACAATCAATAAACAAATGTAAAGCCTATCCTATAGAAGTGGTTCTCAACTAGTACCATCTAATCATCTCCCCCAGCCTCCACCTTTGGGGATGGGGCAGTTATGGAGGCAAGTTTTTGGGTGTCACCATGACTGAGGAGTGTCATTAGCATTTAATGGGTGAAAGAACAGGGATATGAGTCCTACAATGGGAGGACACTCTGTACTATGACGATTTGTACCATTCAAAATGCCAATAAAACCCTCACTGAGGATCACTATCCAATAGCATATATTAATAATTGACTGCTTTTGAAGGAATAAAGTTAACTTTCTTAAAAAAAGGTCAAGAAGTCAAAAAGGAGTATTATATAAATAATAAACATCACAGTTATTTCATTAATTTATTCTAAAAACATAGAAATAGTTGTAAGTTCAATTGGTATAATTTTTTTAAAGATTCATTTTTAAATGAACTTTTTAATAGGTTAACTTGAAAAGGAAAGAGGAAAATATCTCTCTGGGAACCCAAGAGGCCAAAAAACAAGCCAGTTACAACTGCCTTCATTAAAATGTTAAGATCCTACTGATCAGGTAATCAGTTACTCTTTTAAAAAAATATATAATAAAAATAAACAACAGAGTATAGGATGGTTTTGAAGGGTTGGATGGATGCAGGGCTAAGAATTAAATCATTATCTCTAGCTACACCTACAACTGTCAATTCAGAACCAGGTGGGCCCAATTGCTTTTGTTCACCCAAAAGTTCCTAAGACATTAAGAACTTCATTTTACATTACTCCAAATCTCAACTCAAATATTTAAGTATCTGGTAGCATTAAGTGTTGATGTCAATTATACATACCATTTAAATAGCAATGTCTTGGCTACATCCATTTTTCCTTGTTTATATTCTGTTATTGCCAGAGCTGTCAAGATATGGGCTTTGTCTTGCTCTGATTTAACAATAGACAAGGCTCTCTCATAGGCTGTTATACAGAATTGGAAAGAAACAAAAAAACAGAAAAAATAAAATAAATAAATCAATCCTGATTGACAAATGTAGGATTTTTCCTGTCCTAATCCTATTTTTTTAGTAACGTCTAACTAAAATTATATCAGCCTATTCTCTTGTTTTCAAGCAAACAGAATAAAAATTTATAATAATCTAACTTGGTTTAGCTGTTCCAAGATGATTCTGGGGATATTGTTATGATTACTATGTGACAATCCTCAACTTCTACCTTTAGACTCTATTGAGAGTTGTAGGTCACAATCTTTAAGCAAAAGCTTAGGCCTTTGGTGGAGGCCTGCAGCCACTGAGATATCACCAAAATTCCCATATGCAAACCAGCAACTCCATCAAGCAGTAGATACTTAAATGAGCTGCACACATATGAGATAAGTCTATACATGTAAAAATGTACTCATTTGCCATTTTGGAGATATCAAAATCTATTACTAACAATGACCGAGGTCTTCATTTATCAGAAATTGATATTTAAGCAATGTAGAGTAGTAAATGCTAACTCACATATCTGCCATAAGTGATCGTGGGCCTCAGTTTCCTCATCTGTATAATACTCAGCTCATAACACTACTATAAGGACCATTCATAAAGTGCCTAGTGTCACTCCTGATGACTAGTCAGATTTTAATAAACATTGCAACCCCCAGGCCATCTCAATATTACATCTTTCTGCATGTAAGTTCATCATGATTAAACTCTACTCAACTCTAGAAAAGATGTATTCTTTAGCTTCACGCAATATACTTACCTTCACTGCTCTCTTTATATAGCCCCTTCATAAATAAAGCCAACGCGAAACCTATGATGTCTTCTAACTCTTCAAGGGGCGTTGACTTAAAGGCCTCTATAGCTTTATCATATTCACCAATAGAACTAAGAAACAAAACGCAAGTTATTTGTAATATCAGAAGTAATTTTTACTTGTAGCATCAAAATATAGAGATGTAATTACACTAAGGCTCTTTTAATAACTTCACCTGCACTTCCTTTTTTATAGTAGCAATTCAGTAAGCTATAATCTATTAGTATTAAAGCTGTAGAAAAGACATATTAAAATAGAAGGCATGTCACAAATAGGACGTACTGGGGAGATTTAATATCACACTTTGCTTCTTTTAGATTATATGTGAATATGTCTCTTTTTGTTAACAAACTTTAATTAAAATCCAGAATTATAAAAATAATTTCAAGTTGACTTCTATAGAGAACTCTAATTTTTTTAAGTTTAATATGTTAGTTAAGTATTATCCTATTAGTACAGTTCTAGCATCTTTGACAAACTTAAAAGTTATAAAATGCCTAGTGAGGATCAGGATCACACCTAGCTTTTGGGTAAACTATTTATATACACATCCATTTTTTTGGAGAGCATACATAGACACACTAAAATTCCACAAACAAAACTACACATTATTTTTTTTTGTTTAATAGGGAGAAAAATATAAATTGTATCATCATATATGATACTAAAGTACAATCCTTATTAATAATACAAAAAACAACTTGGTTTTGCTTATTTAAACATGAAGGAAAGTTGTATAAGCTCAGCTATCATCATCTAAACAGAAACACTTTATTTTTGAGATTCTTATTCTTATTCTGGTATCCGTCACTATAATCTGAATCTGTTTTAATTTTTTTTTTTTTAATTTACAGAGTTCTTTATTTTAAGAGATGGGGTCTCACTATGGTGCCCAGGCTGGTCTTGAACTCATGGGCTCAAGTAATCCTCATGCCTCAGCCTCCTGAGTAGCTGGGATTACAGGCACATGCCCCGCAGCTGACCTGTTTTTATTTTTAATGTGCTACTGAAAATATTTTTATGTTTAGGAGCAAAAAATACATGCAACCTTTGCTTCTAAAATAAGTTTTATAAAGGTGAAAGAAGTTACGAAATCAATAAACTCAAATTTTGATAAATATTTTGATAAAGGAAAGAGCTATCTTAGATTGCTTATGGATACATATGTACATTAAAAGTGTTTCGTTAAATAAACACTATCTTCAAAAATGTGATTACTTCTGTGGAGGAAATAATGAAACTGAAGAAGGGGACTTCAACTTTATCTGTAACTTTTTCTTTGAAAAAGAAACCTGAAGCAAACTGAGTGAATTTTAAGATGTTACATTTGAGTGGTGAATTCTCATTAAATTATGCTCTATATTTTATTACTTACTGCATGTTTGCATATATTATATATTTCACAATAAAAACCAATTAAAAGAAAACAGATAACCTTTTTTCAACGGAAGGTACAAATTTTCTTCAAAAATATTTATATTACACAAAACATCAAAACTAAAAAGAATAGATACTTTATTCCAGATACTCTGCAAACTGGTCGTCATCACCTCACCAGTCCTATAGCTTTCATCAGAAAAATTCAATAGATTCACAGAATTAATGGGGAAAAAATACACTTACCATAACAATCTGCCATAATTTCTTATTGCAACATTACAAGTATCTTGATCTTCCGTAGTCTGTAACAACAAAATTGCCCTTAAAAAAAGAAAAAGGTATTTCAGTTTATCTATGTGCAAAATAGCATTTTTTCACCCTTCCATGTAAATGAATCTACAGATTTTTGTTCTCTTTATTTAATTCTATTAATTCTTTAATGCTAGTTCTAATAGCTTATTCATATTTTATTAAGTTGGTACCACAAAAGCACTTAAATATACTTAGATTTTAGATTGTCAGGAAAATAACATAAAAATGACCTTTTAGTAAGTGAAATCCCTTATTACATTTTACTTCTAAATATTCCAAAAATCTAAATATGGGAAACGACTATGTCACAGTTTTAACATATTTGGAAATATAGAAAAAAACCCTTGAAAATATTTATAAGCTACTAGTTTGAGTTAGGAAGACAGGAAACTGAGTGTTTTCATGTGCTCTTGCCTGTACATACAGAAAAATATTTAAAGAATAGTGAGTTGAGGGAAGGGAACAACTCATCAGAAGTCCCTCGAGGCTTAGAATAAATATACTAACCTGCTGACAACATGTATTTCCTTCTCATGCTCAGTTCCCTATGGGCAAGCAGGGAAATGTCTTAACAACTGAAAAGAGCTGGATATTTAGTAAGATTTTTTTATCTTCTTTTCTGTTTAAAGAGAATTCACTAGGGAAAAAATATCCAAGATAGGCTTTTTATCCCCCTGATATTGCATGAAAAACAAAAATTTGCTACAGAAGCCTAAAAGATAGTATTCCAGAGATTAAAACTATATCCCTGGTTAGATTTATGCTTAATTTTTGGTTTCAAGCCTCAAATATTTGTTTAAAACGAAACAGCAGTGGTGATCAGCCAAGAAAGAGTGGTACATATCCAAGTGACTAGGGAGCTGTCATTTAAAGCCTAATGTGTAACAGATGTTAGATACACAATATTTGCAATAATAACACTATGCAAAAAAAAAAAAAAATAGCAAGCACCCTACTGCCTAGTTTTCTCTGTTTAAAAATCCTGCTCACTGTGACATTCTATCATATTTATACAGTTTACTGGTACATTTATTGACATTACAAGAAAAAAAGTTGTAGTTTTTCATAAACTTTCTCTCTACATATACCTGAAAAAATAACTTCTTGATTATTCGGCCTCCAGTACCATCTAGTGATTATTCCTTTGAACTACAGGGAGATCCATAAAAGGATATGGCAAAGCATTTGGATCATCTCAATTATTTTTCTATCTAACAAGGCTTCTTGCAAATATTTACTTAGATTTAGGACAATAACGTGCCTCAGAGGTTAGGCAATCAGGTCTTTTAACTTTTCATGTAGTAGTTATTCATAAGATCAATAGTTACTTTCTTATCACCTACCCATTAATTTGCAGAGAATAAAACTTTAAGCAGATTTCATTTCCTACTACTCTCCAGGTTGGTCATTCCATTCTAGTACACTGGCTTCCTTGTTTCTTAAACATGCCAGGTCCACTCCTGATTGGCACTGCTTACTCTAGCTATTCCTTCTGCCCAAATAAACAAATGGCTTGTAGTTTCAGTTCATTCAAATTAGGCCTCAACTGCCTCCTTAGTACTGGCTCTTAAACCCATCTGAAATGTTACTTCCTGTCCTAACATTCTCTGGCCCTTTACCCCAATTTAATTTTCGTTCTTAGCAATTTTTATCATCACAGATGTTTATTAGCTTATCATGTGTCTCTTGCCACCAGAATATGAGCTCCGTGACAACAGGGTCTCTGGCTGTTTTAATTCACTGTTTAATTGCCAGTGCTAAGGACACTGCTTGGCAAATAGTAGTTCAACAAATATTCACTGAATGAATATATAGTACATAGTAAAGTGATTCAAAAAAATACATCACAATGTTCTCATTGCTTGTCTGACTGAACACATGCTCATACCTAACAAAGCGAGACAAGTTCTTAGGGGACAGATTTTTCTAAAACAAAATCTGAAGGGTTTTTTGTTTTGTTTTGTTTGTTCTTTCTTTTCTCGCAATTTCTCTCTCAATTTCTCCACACACCACCCTTCCCCACCCCAGGATGAGCAATAGAAACCAAAATATAACTGAAAAGTTTCACCTTCCAAGATCTAATAACATGCAATAAAAGATCAGGAAAGGAGTCAGAACATTTATTTAGTACCTTCTTCATGAAAGAGACTAAATTTTAAAAAGCTAACTGATAAACAAAGACTACATTGCAATTAAATGTAGTTTACCTTTGGTATGCATCTGCTGCTTCCTTTTTCAGTTGTAGATGTTCATTTAAGTAGCCCAACATTGTGAAAGCTGGAGCATAATTCTGAATTCTTTCTGGAAATCCAGAAATATCTTTACATATGCATACTGGTTGCATCCATAAAATATTAGTTTTATTTTCAATTTTTTCAGTATCTTAAACACCAGATTACCTCCCAAGATCACTGGCATTGCTAAGAATACTGAGCTAATTTTATCCTGAATATAGTATGCCGGTAATTGTTTCATAACTCTTTTAAATTACTGAATAATATTCAATAGTTATATATGGCTTCTAGTTATGTTTTAGAGTTTAAACATTTTTATTCCCAAAGGTATATAATAACTTGAAATTGAAGCTCACATTAAAACTAGTCATGAGATTTACAAGGAAATTCAGTTCTTTCGCTAATCACTTAAGCTTTCCTGTGATTAAATTTATTAATAGGAACAGTTTCTCTTGATAGTTCTGTTCTAATCTCTGTGTATTTTAAAAAATAATTGGCCGGGCGCAGTGGCTCACGCCTGTAGTCCTAGCACTCTGGGAGGCCGAGGTGGGCGGATCGTTTGAGCTCAGGAGTTCGAGACCAGCCTGA